TATAAATTAAGACAAAGATCAATGTAACTTTAGTGCTTCCTGCACCGGTCTTTTGTATATCCACAAGCAACCCCTCCCTACAGATTGCATGTGTTTTTGATTGATGAGCCTGGATTCTGTATTGTGGTACTAAAGCCACCACTGAGACAACTTCTGATGTGCCTGACACATTCTAGCACAGCCATACCACATGGCTGCCTGAAGCCATCGCATCTGTCACCTCCCACTCTGCGAAATCCTAATACCACCCGATGAAGGATTCAGACCCTCGTCTTCCCGACCATCACCACCGTTGTGAGTTGTCAGACACTCTGCATGATGCACATCTCTGGGGAAAACACATGTTTACAATAAGCATGATCCCGTGAGATGGATTACTTGAGGTAATCATTTTGACAGGAGGAACACAAACATGTCACCCCTACTGAAGCAGAGATGTCTCAAAAATTTGAGCACTGTTTTTAATCTTATTGCTGCAAGAGAAGTCAGATACAATTTGTTTAAAGTAAAAATACAATCATTTGGACATGGTTTGTGTTTGAATAAGCCAAATGGGATCTCTTATGGAGAGACAGAAGCAAATAGGACACAACACTTCCAATTCTGAACAACTGTTAAAGGGAAAAGTCCACAGATTGCTGTTCTGTTTTGTTTTGCTTTTTAAGAGGAGGGAAAATATCCAAAGGATTTCTTTCCTAGCCCTCCACTGAACAATTGTATTCTCTCTGCTATCTGTTTAGACACAGCTAATTAACATAGCAATTCAGGAGCTGAATCCTATTGTTTTTAAAGCCATAGGTAATTTTTAAAAATACTAAAGAAAGGAAAAGGTTTAACTATCATTGATAAATGAGTTACTCTATTCCGACCACAAAGTAAAAAAAAAAAAAGATGCCTGCTAAAGGGGGGACGGTGAATTAGTCATACTTAGTAATACTACTTTTTATAAAATTAGCCATTATCATAAATATATATTGTTCTACAATTGGTGGATTGTTTCAAAATATTTAAAGCTGCAATTAGGGACAACAACAATTTTTAAAAATCCAAGAAGGCCATCAAGTTCATTGCTGACATTATTTAATTATGTAAGAACACTAAAGTCTCTACCAATCTTTTATTCTAGGTAACTTGTCTCTCCCACTAAAATGATCACAGTGTTGGTGCTGGCTAGACCACATTCATAAGTTAGTTTATTATTGCAATGGGCCCCTCTATTTATCTACAAGTTTTACAATTTAGGACAATAATCTTCTCGAAATTTGAGCATCCCACTTTGTCATAATCTAGCCAGCCACGTAAGTTTCAGAGAGTCGTGTTCTGGGGACAAGTCCCCTGCCTTGGCAAGAGCAAGAATGCTTGAGGGGGTCACACTGTCAGCCCCAAGAGAGCTGAGTCACTTTCCTTTAAGCTATTTTCAGTTTCCTCTGTAACCATCTCTAAAGACCAAGGCCAATATGTTACTCATTCCAGTTATCTTATCCTGAAGGTTAAGGAACCTTAAATATCTTTCAGATATTCTTTAAAGTCAGGGACTAAAAACTCAGGTTTCTGGTAAGGAATTCAAATGAAGAAAACATTCAAGACGTGTTTGCATTTACTACTGGCACTAGCAAGAGCGCTCCAGGCAAATGGGACCTCCTGCCCCACCCACCAAGGGGATCCTTTCAGGTTTCGCCAATTTTCACCCAGTCCACTGGAAGCAACTGAATAAAGGTCGAGCACTCCACAATCATACATAATTGATGGCTGGACCTATTAAAGATGGGTTGCCAGAGTTCAGCATTCAGACTTAGAAGTATTTGTCATCAAATGTACTTTCATCGATTCTTGTTCAACTTAAACAGCACTGCACATAAAGGAGAGCAAAGGATCTTGGATCATAGTCAGGAGCAATAAAAATAACTTCACCCTGTTAAAAAAAAAAAAAAAAGACGACGACAACGACAGAGAAGAACCTGAGTAGTTACCTATCAACAAAGGCACCATCCTTTTATTGAAAATACACTCAACAATTATCCTATGAATGAATAAATGAATAAATGAATGGATGAATACAGGAAAATGTGATTGTGCAGATCTTTTCCTATAAGGAACAATCCAGCCTCTTCTCTCCTACCTGAAGCCCCCAGCTGGTCAGCCTACCCATGCGGAAGTGGTAGGTCCAAGAGCTGATATGAAGCTCACGTGGCCCTGAATTGATTTTGATTAACTTTTTCGATGGTTTAAAGATAATCAACAAAAACAATAACAATAAAACCTTGTCAGTTTCAAAATGCCAAATCTGTCAAAACAAAGCTATTTTCTCAATTAATGTAAGACAGCTCTTCTTCCTTCCTTCCCTGTCACTCAACACATACTCAACACGGATAATAAGAGATTGCTTTTGCACACACATCCCATACCAATTTTTCTCCTCTCTGAATAGGTCAAAGGCAAGAAAGAATGAACACTAACAATGGTCACTTTTAAAGACTCTTTATATAGAAGACTTCTTCAGCTGGGGTCCGTGAGCCCCCTAAGGAACCCATGGATGATTTCAGGTCTCTAAATCTGAACTTACATGTAACATTTTGTATATTTGCATATATGTATTTTTCTGGTAATAAGGTAGAGGATTTTCATAGGATTATCAGTGGCATCTCTGACATCAATTTTAAAACCATTACCTTTTAGTGCGTGGCCTGCGTTTGGGCATACCTTTCCCGTGCAGCCATCAGGGAAGGAAATGGTGAGTGCTGTGTTTCCAGAGGAAGGGGAGACTATAATGAGCTGGGAAGTCTTCCTGCAGAACTCATGAAGCTGGGCCTTGAGAGGTTGGCATGAGTTGGGCCAGTGGACAGGAAGGGCAGGCATCTCAGGAGAGAGGCTAGCATAAGCAGAGGCAGAGTGGGGACATGAGGCATGTTTAGGCAACGGCAAGCAGACCAACCTGGATGCACTGGCTGACTCACATGGAGGAGCCCTGGAAGACACTCCAGGAAATGAGATGAAGGAAGAGGTGAGAACACCAGGCCCCAGGGAGTGGCCCTCACCCTGAGGCAATATGGTACCCCCTCAGGGCCAGAGCTTTTTTAAAAAATTAATGGTGATGGGTGGAATGGATCAGGGAAGTGACCAAGCCTTTAAAAGAGGCTATCACAGTAGTCTAAGCAAAAGATGCCCTAAAATTAGGGTGCCATGTCTGTTCTGTTCACCACTCTATATCCAGTGTGGGTCCCAGGGCCAGGCACAGGGTAGGTGATCAGTAAATATGCAATGAGTGAGCATATGGGAATGGATTCTTAAAAGATAAGTAACAGAGAATAATGAGTCTTGGTGACTTGGTATCATTCATAGAGCCTAGCAGTGCCTTGCACAGAGTAAATCCTAACAAAAGATCTCTGAATTGGTCTGGACCAGGCTGAAGAGACATGGAGGACAAGAGTGGAAGACGCCAAGCACTCTTTGAGAGAGGCTGGGGACATGCTGGTTCCACGAGCATGGAGTGATTTCTCAGGGGACATGGAAAAGGAAACAAAGTCAAAGTGGTGTAATAGCAAGAACCATCTAAGGCAAGGTGAAAGACTTCAGTCCGGGTCCTGCCCTGCAAATGAATGTGCATGTGACACGGAGCCAGTAACAACCTCAGAGGCTCTCTTGTAAGGAGCTTTCTACAACTAACCCATGGCCCAGCTATACATTGCTATGATTCTACACTTTCTCTCAGATAATCTAGGCAAGACCCAGGAAGCTAAAATCCCTAGCTCTTCCTTTCCTTGAACTCTATTTCAGGAAAACATATCCTAATACCTAATACCACAGTACACACAGGCTGGGCTCACTGAAGAGCCAGAGTGTAGTTGTGATTCGAGTCCAAGTTGTTCTAAGTCTATGATCAGTCACCTGGGTAGCCCATGGCCTCGGGAGCATCACTGTTCACAATTCATTATGTTATAACAACAGAATGGTATAAACTTATACTGCCCTTATATCTACTCTGTCATACACAGATTAAATCATACCACGGCTGCTCCTCAATCCTGAGGAGTGGGGACGAGGGGCAAAGGAAGAGGGACAGAGGGGCAGAATTTATTTTTACAATGACAGGTAAAAAAAAGAACAGGTGGCTAGCGGGTCTTCTGCCCAACCAAGAACATCTGTTAACGATCACACTTTCCTTAAGTTACTTTCCAGTAAAAAAGAAACACAACTTGAACAAGTAAACCAGATAACCAAAATGTCCCCTAATTTCTTGTTATTTTTTCTTATAAGTAGCACCTGCTCACCATACTAGAGAATACTTCAAATCTGGAGAGCTTAAGAATGAAAGTAAAATTAAAAAAAGATAAAATTAAAGCCCTCCCAGTAAAGACTACCCAGGTCATCAACACCACACCAATTCTGTCTTGGTCATTTTGTTTCCATTACCCACGTTGAAAAGGTAAAACCTGGGGATATTATTCCAGGGTTCCAAATCAAGTTACACCTACAAAATGTTGGCTACCCAGTCATGACCTGTCAGGCTAGTACCCAAGACTCCAAGTGGTAATGTCCATTCAAGCCCCTGTGAGAGGTACCTAGATAGAATGACTAACTTTACAATGAACACTGGCTCTCCAGTACTTGCCCTCCAAGCAATGCAGGATAAAAAAATATGGGGCTCTACACAGTCATAACTTAATCATTCCTGAAGTAAAGATACAACACACCTGGTGCTATACAGTAAGAATAAATTGTAGGCAAAATTTCAAACACAACTCTTTCCAGCTAGGGGTAGGGACAGGGCAACTCGGTCTTTGCGCAGCTAGGTCTACAGTCCATCCGTTTATTATATTCAAATTTCCAAGCCCAAAGTTTCCCTAGTCACACAGAACTACCACCAGCTGACCTTGGAACATGCCTGTTTGTTAGAGACAAAAGAGGTGAACAGTCCTCCCAAGTGACCCTGGAGATAAAACACGCTCATCCATTCATATCTTCTCCACCACATTTTCATGAGGCAACAAACAGTCCTCTCAAAGATGAATGGTTTTAATAAGCTACTAACAACTGGCTTTCCTGTGCAGTAAGAATTTCTAAATCAGGGCAACTCCGCATTTCCTCCCAGTTACATATGTCCTACACGGTTGCTTCAATGGTAAACAGCCTCAGCAACTCTCCCCCTTTACCTCTTTGTTGAATCCACAGCATTTTAGGATTGTTTTTGCAAAAGCCATATTCAAAGAGAGTCTTTTTCAAGCAAAGTACATGAACTTCTCAGCACACGTTGCGGTCTTTAAAGCAGTGCCTCTCAAGTCCCACAATGAATAGCCATTACCCAGTGAGTCTGTGGTGATCAGGAGTAAAGCAGTTCTGCTTGCCCTTATAAATCTTAACACTGACTCTCCTAGCCCAAATGCATGGCCTTCACCCCAGCATCTTCACCCCATACTTCACTGGAAAATGTTCTAAGTCAACAAAAATGATGTCTTCAGAGACAGAGTGCCTTAGTAAATACAGTAACCGCAAGGGTCCATGTGCTCTATGGGGAAGGAGAGGGAGCCCAGGGAGGCTATGGGAGATCCTTAAGAAACATTAAGATTTGTCCTCAGCATTGCCTTCCTCTCATGGGGCAACGGCTGAGAACACTGGAAAAGTTGCATTAGTAAAACTGCATAGAGTCTACACTGCACAAAGTGCTTTGATACCAGTAACATGATCCTCTTCATACTTCATCTTTTCAATACATCTTTCAAGGTTTGTTTTCAAAAAGACATTACAAGCTGGCAAGCGTCTGCTTAGAAAAAGCAGTCAAATCCTTTCCCCTTCACCTCTATGAAACCCCATCATATTCCTGAGCTTTATTCCCTTCAGATAAACCACACAGAGGCAACTTAACCCTCGGGAGTCAACAAAGGACAACATTCCAGTGTGTGTTCAGGCAACGAAAGAAAGACTTCTGCAGATACACAGCATTGAAGACTGTTTGGAGCTGTTGACAATCTGTAAAAATATGTTCAAGGTTCTTTCAACAAAAGATTTCGATTCAAGCAAGATCACAGGGAAGAGCGAGGACAGGGTCTTAGCTGTGCCTTTGCATATGTTTTGTCTGCTCGGTTTTTGCGCGTGACTGTGGCTGTCGTTGGCTGGATATGGAATTCCTTTGCCCTCGAATCTTCTTCATACGTGGAAAGCACAATCAAGACTAAAATGTTGTGTTTATGTCACAGCTCTTCCAAGAGGTTTAAAGCGCCGAATGTTACCACATGAATCCTCACAACACCCCTGTGAGGTAGGTAGGTGGAGAGTATTGTCAGCCCCACCTTACAGGTGGGGGAAATGAGGCACACAAGAATTAAGGGACTTGCCCGAAATCACACAGCTAGTCACTGGCAGGACTGAGAAGAAAACTTATACTGACTAGCACCTAGCACAGTGCTTTGCACATAGTAGGTGTTCACTGAATATCTATGGATTTTATTTGAATTATCTCCACATACAATACACACACATAAAATACAAGCAGCCACCATAGAACATTTGTCTCCTACATTTCTCCTGATGACTTCGCTCATTACTTCGAACCCACGTGGATGAAGGATGCTCGAGAATCCGTCTCACAACTAAGCCCTCGGGTTGAAGAGGATCTACATAAACACGATCCACAGACAACCTGTTCTTGCACCTGCTCTACCACACAATGTTAGTTTTCTAATGAAAACAAAAATGGATTTCAGGAACCATGCTGACATTTTTTTTTTTGCCTGTTTGTTTTAAATGGAGCCATCTGAATGGTTCTGTGTTTTGTTTGTACAAAAAGAAATAAGGCTGCTAGAGTCCAGTTAGCTTGTGAGAAGTGTGCCAAGCACGAAGATCTCCTCCCAGCTGAGATGGATTTCTACCTGGGCAATTGGACCAACCCCAGGGTGTGGCAGCTCTGGCAGAAGAGGGTCAGCGAGGCTGAACATCACTTGCACTGTTCGTGGTCCGTGTAGTCATCCATGTCCACGTCAGAATCAAAGAGCGAGTGTCCAGTGAAATCCGTATCTGGGGTTCTGGAAAAACTGTTCTCTGCTCCCTCATCTTCAAAGGTCTCTGTCCTTGAGTAAAAGCTGAAATCCAGCAGGGGTGTGTGGGTTTTGCTGCCTTCGCTGCTCTCCTCAGACTCATAGATGGTGTTGTCATCATCGTGATGCCACTCGGGCCAGAATTTCCTCCTTATCCTCTCACAGTACATGGCAAGGTTGATCAGCTCACCTGTGGGGGGGTGGGGGGTAAGGAAAGCCAGGGTTAATTCTCAAAGGCAGCAGTCCCTCAGCTAGCCACTTGGCCCAGGGAACTGGGAAGAATATGGTCGGGGAGAAGTTTACAATGTTTTTCCACAGAGGGACCATCAAATATTTAGGTTTTCATGCCCATAAGAAGAATGGTGAGTGGGGAAAGTTACATCTGTGAGTGGGCTGAGTGAGATTTAGGGGACAGTCTTATGGTGATGAGGGGAGGTGGGTAGTTTATCCAAAATGGCAGCTGAACGACCATCATTTGGCTGTGTAAAGCGTTATAATTTTATGTTTGCTTATCAAGAGAACTGGTGCTTCGATGGTTCATATTTAAATTAATTTATAGCCCGTGAAAATACACCAACGGTTAGTTGGGCTAAGTCAGCCAGAAGTAATCATTCATTTCACAAATATTTGTAGTGTTATTAAGGACTGGGTACTATGCCAAGTAGTTGGAAAAAGTTATGTTAAGATGTAAATTTTCCCCTAAATAAACCTAAGTAAAATGGGTAACTCAGAACTGTCTATGGATGAGTGTGCCCACAGGCGCATTTAGTAAAACAGGTATTTTTTTTTTTAATTTTTTTAAATAAAACTGAACAGCTACACCCATAATTACATTCCCACTCACTGGGCTACTTCTTTTTCATGCGAATCAAAGGAACACTTTTGTTAAGTTGCTAAAATTGTCCAAGCATTTGTCTGAAACATGACACAGAATTTGACATTCATTTCTTAATTCCCAATGAAAAATGAAGAGAGTGAGTTTTTGCCTTTGATCCACCAGATGGCAACATTGCTTACAATACATAATTTGTCACTATCCCTTACAGAATTTCATCGCCCTAAGAATATTCTTTGGATGTTTGTTTTTTAAGTCATATAAACATCTACTTATTATATAGGTGATCCATGTTTTATTGCAGAAAATTAGAAAGTAATGGATACGCAAAAAATAAAAGAATTACCAATAATCACATCCACTGTAATAACATTTTTATGTTCTTCCAGAAATGTATATACTTATATACACACTTACATATATTTACGCTTCCTATTTAGCATTTACTATATATTGTTTCTTACTCTACTTTTTCCCACTTGACAAACTATAATAAAAAACTTTCAGTTTCACACTATCACCTTGATAACTGCACAGTAGTTCATTATTCAGATGTACCATGGTTTCATTTTGTTTTTACCACACCCCCTTTATGGCCATTTAGGTTGTTTCTATATTAATGCGTCTATTGATTATAGTCTTTATTTTATTTTCTATCAAAGAATATAATACATTCTCATTTTGGAAAATTAGAAGTCTGTATATAAAAATGTATACCATTTAGATAAGGAAGAAAACAAAAGGCACCTATCAATCTCATCAAGGTCATCACAATTAACATTTTGGTGTAATTTATTTCAGCATATGTTCTGTTTATTTATTGTCATTATTACTACTTCCTGTTACTTTGCATAACATTACTATATACATTTTCCCATGAAAATTTTTCAAAACTTGATTGCTGCTCTGCTTCAATAAGCCTGTTCCCTATAAAACATAAAGAAGCGAATCCCTCTACTCCATGGACCCTAGAGACCGGTGGATTAATATTGGTTCCAGGTCACTATTTTCAGTTGCCTTATATCATAACAGTTCCACTCACACTATGTAAGAGTCCATTCTGGTTGCCCCCTACTCAGGGATTGTACGTACATACACGCCCAGGAGCCAGAAGCCGAGGAGCCAACACCCGTGCTCCTTGAAATGATGCAGACAAAGTCTTCGCTTAGATTCTCCCTCAGGGAAGCAGTCAGGAAACCCCTCACCAGGTACTGCTGCCAGTCCCAGGTAACCCAGACTTGGACAAAGCTGTGGAGGCAGCTGCAAAGTTTGGCCGGTGGGGCGGGGTGGGGGGGCATTATGGTCACTTCACAGCAGGGTCTGGGCAGCTGCGTTTGCCTCAATCAAGACCACTCGCTATGAGCTGGTTAGCGAGCAGCTAGAAAGTCAGAATCTATTCACAGTATCCACAGGATCTACACCATATATGGTTCTAGCCACTTCTTCTGTGGCTGTTTTTTCTACTGCCTGTTTCCTCACTTTTCTTCCAGGAGAGCTGCCCTGCCTTCCTCCTGTGTGACATGAATACCCCTTCAAGCGTGCAATAAAAATTAATAATAATAACAACAGCAAATATGCACATAGTCCTTACTGTGTACCAGGCACTGTTTGAAGTGCTTCATTCATCTGTTGAATTAGTCCTTGCAACAATCTTATCAGGCAGGAACTATTATTATCCCCATCTGTCATGGGAACACTGAAGCAACAGAGAGGTTAATTAACTTGCCTAAGGTCACATAGCTAGAAAGTGGCAGAGCCAGGATTCAAACACCCACAGTCTCCAGACTCCACGCCCTTCACCACAAATCTAATCTCTCTCTCTCTCTACTGATGAGCCGACAGCCTGGCTTGGGAATTAATAGCTGCATACGCCCTGTCACAGAAGATTGTTCTATAATTCTTTTCAGGGTCTCAAGAATTATGAGGAGACAGGTGCTGCCCCTCAAAGATAATGAGTTGTCAAGAAGAAGTGATCATTCTATTATGCAGTCCAGAAAGGGATTGCTTTTGATAAGCAAAAACTGGGAACCCACATACCCATCCTCATATCCTGCCACTGATAAAAACAGTGGAATAAAGAATGAAATTTTCTGGGTGAGTTCTACCCTGTCTGGCTTTACCAATCCCTTCTGTCCCTGACCCACTCACCATGCTACCAACCAAAAGAAGAGAAAAAAGTTGGCAGTAGAAACAGGCTCTGTGTGTGTGTGTGTGTGTGTGTGTGTGATATGCCTGTGTTAACATAAATGCCTATGTTGAAGGTGTGAACCTTGTGAAATAATAGAAAAACCGCATTTTTTTCAAAGTGTACTCAATAATCAGATTAACAACTTCATACATCAAACTGGTAAAAATTAAAGTCTGATAACATCCAATGTGAAGGGTCAGGCATTGTAACTACATGTCTGGTGGAATTATAAATTGCTATAACCTTTTTTGGAAAGTAATCCAATGTCATCTGTTGAAATTCTAACTGTTGGCTCAGAACTCCACTTTTGTTTCTCTACTCTACTAAAATAAAAGCACCAGTATGTAAAGATATATGTATATGGATGTCAACATCATTGTGTCAGTAAAAAATAAAAGAAGAAAAGAAAGATGAAAATGGCCTGAATGTCCATCAGTAGGGATTGACTGAATAAATTATGGTGATTCAATTCTATATATTTTGCAGCTGTTAAAAAGGCATGATATTCTAGTAAGTGAAAAGAGGGAGTTATAAAGTAATGTGTATAATGCAATTGCACTGATTAGTTTAAAAATAGTAAAAACAAACCAAAACTACTATATACGTGTATGTAAATTTGCACATGAAAAAGAAAGGCACAGAAAGATTCATTCCAAATTCTTAATATTGGTTATTCCATGGGGGTGGATACTGGACATGGATGAGGGGGAAGTCATAAATCTTTTAAAATATTCCTGTATAATTCAACTCATTTTGACAATCCTGTATTTTTAAATTTAAAGTTCCAATAAAGTACATGAGTGAAATACTGAGTGGTAAGTGATATGCTCAGACAGCTTGAGAGGCTATTTATCAGAAAGCCAAATGGTCCTCAACCCAGAGGTCACTCCCAAAAAGAATAAAGAGCTTTTCTCTTAGTTTCTCCAAATGGAAATATCCCCCACCGTTCTTTGAAAAAAAAGTGACTCATTTTATTTTCCTGTATCACTGCAATTTCTCTAACATTCAAAAACATTTTGTACAATTTGACCCTGAAAACATTGTCAACCAGGCCCAGAACCCAGGGCTCAGTTTCTCCCAGCTGCCAATCGTGCACAGCAGGAATGAGAGGGAGGGAGAAGTGACGGGGGGAACCTGCCAGCATGTCCCAGCTCCCCCTGCCCAGCCCTCGGTCATTAACCATCAAGTTTTTGGAATACATGGGGCTGGCACCCACACGAACTCATCTGGTCTGCAGGCATTTACTCGGCACCTCCCTGCTGCAGACCTGTGTGAGGTGCTGGCCATGCCCATGCTCGCTCTCTTCAGCATTCTGTCACAGGCAGGGAGGGCACAGAGCATGTCCTCTTCCAGAAAAGTTTGAAACAAACTTGAATGGTGTGATGAGGACACCACCTTCCCCTCATCTCCTGAAGCTAAAGGGTACTGACTCAGAGATCACAAAATACAAATACCCACAAAAGTCACCTGAGCCAGCCCCTCCCCAAGCCCCGAATGCCCCACAGCCACCTCTTCCTGAACATTCCAGATGGAGAACAGTAAGTGCAGGGGTGGGGATAGACTCAACTGTTTCTCAAGGATATCCAGCACGTGATTGAAAGGTGGAAAAAGTTATCAATCAATCTGATAATAAGCAAGAAAAGACATCCAAGAACAATAAATAACTGTTGGTAAAAGAGCTCCTGAATAAAGTTTTCCAGAAGCACACAGAAAGTGTGGTTCTCACAGATTCCGAAAAAGAGCATGAGGTTGTGCGGCTCTGTGGTGGCGCCACCTGGCGGGCGGGCACGGGGCACTAGTCCTGCCGGCCGGGCGCTTCTGGTCCGGTTTTCTAGGCTCTGCGGTTCTCCATGCCTGTCTCAAAGAGGGCCCTGATCCACGCACAATTCCCTGAGAAGGACTCGCTGAACAAAATGTCAAATGTCACTTGGCGACCTTGCTGATAGTAACACTGAGATTTTTTTTACTGGAAAAACGGCAAAAATTTCAAAATAAATATTCGATCCTAAGGAATAAAATTTGAGGTGCTTTCAGACACTGCTCATGAGAAGACGCACGGCTACAAGTCTTCCTAGAAAGCAATTTAGCCATACAGACCAAGAGCTTAGACCTTTTGAGATAGAAATTCCCCAATTAGAAATTTGGCTTAAGGAAATAACTAGAGATAAGCAAGAATATATTTTTATACAATATTCACCAGAGAATATCAGTTAAAAAATTATGTGAAACAAGCCACAAGTCCAGAAAAAGAAGATTAATCATATCAATTACAATGTAGCCATAGGATAGGATATTATCCAACTACTAAATATGTTGTTTTAAGGCATATTTAATGACAGGAAAATGGCCAGGATACACAGTTAATTAAAACTATAGGTTTATAACTGTATCAACATCATGATCCCAATTTTTAAAAATAAACACATACATGTACTTGATGAAAGAGGAGGAAACAAACCACATAATTAACAATAGTTCTCTGTGGGTGACAAGGGGCACAAGTTATATTTTTTAATTTTTCTATCTTTTCTAGATTTTCTCCAGCAAGGAAATAATATTTCATATATCTACATCTATAATACACAAACGCATACTTAGTATATTTTAAGAATTGCTGAATATTCAAAGTCTGTCATCTTACTCACCTAAATTAAGGAAAATTTCTCACTGTTTTAGATGGTTCCAGTACACTATGTGGCTAGATACTGTAACTAATATCTAGAACCAGAACACTCACACACTTACACACGCGGCCAGGCCAACAGCGCTCTGACCGTTCCAAAGCTAAGGCAGAAAACTGCCTGATCCAAGCATTCACGCTCCTGGATTTGAGCCAGTTCTAAAGCATACAGGTACTTAGTTGTTTCTGCTTCTCCTTCCTCTTGTTACTTCTTGGGCAAGTCTCCACCACAGAAAGAGCAAAGGCGGAGAAAGAAGCAGAAACCAGAGTAGTAGTTTGCCTATTAGCAGCTACAATCAGAAGGTTTGGAAGGGCATACAACCAATGACCAAAATGTGATTTAGAGACCCTCTGTGGACTTTAATGATTCATGCTACACCAGTCCCCAAGGAGAGCTGGAAGCTGCTAACTTGTTTAAGAACCAAAGTACACGCAGCTATGTGCCAAAGTCCCTCGCAGACAATGGTGTCAGATTCCCCCAACGTGTGGGTGGGACTCAAAATTGATCCTCCAAAAAGGCTGACCCATTTCTTTAAAAAGAACACTAAATGTCTCGAGTCCTTCCAGGAAGTAGAAGTGAAAAGGGCCAAGTCATAAATAATTTAACAAAAGATGCTTCATTCCTGCAAGAAGGGATTCTATAGAATTTGATAGTTCTACTCATAATGGGTACCTAAATGCTTCTGACTCATAACAGATGACGTCAGCCGTGTGTGTTAGCGCACTTGCGTGCATGTGTACAAGTGAGCGTGTTCGGGGTATATGTGTATAGAAGTAGGTGAGGAGATGTGGCAGTGTGTGTACTCATGGGTGTGTAAGAGTGGTGTGCTAGGGAAGTGGAGGGAGAGAGTAGGAAGAAACAGGAATAGAGTGTAGATATAAAACATACTTCTAAATGAACTAAAGGGAACCAATATATTTTAGATGATTAAAATGAAGAGAAACTATTTTAAATGCTACAAACATCACCAATAGGATAACATGTTCAATTTAGGTAACTTCCAACACATTGCAAGACAAGGAACAGCTCTATGCTGATCACATAGGAAATTAAATATTAGTCCATACTATCCCTAGCTTCACCCAGCTGAAGTTCTGGAAGACCTTCAGTCAATGCCTGATCCATTCCAACGAGGTTTGGTAATGTATCTGAAGCCCCATCCCCACCAATAGGAGAATCTGGAGAATGATTCCTCCTGTCCTTAGCCTGGTCTGAGCTTCTGGGCATGCGCATGAATCACACACACACACACACACACACACACACACACAGAACTACAGGCTTCACCAACCTTCCTATCCACCCACCTGTGGCCACCACACATGAGTGGTGTTCACCTGCCTCAGTTTCTTGTATGATTCTGCCTTGCTTGGTTCCGACCATCGATCCATCAACATTAAAAACATTCTATATGCTATTCACTAGTGATCTCATCTACATCCCCAGTCTTCTCAGTTGGGGCATAAATACCTTGTTCAACTCTGTCACTCCCTTTCCCAAACCCAAATATTGGACTTTGATCCCTATATCCCCAGGTCCCAGGCACTTGCTTAGGTACTTCTTCAAACTGGAGATGACTCGGGGCACCTGGGTGGCTCATTAGGTTAAGTGTTTGCGTTCAGCTCAAGTTGTGATCCCAAGGTCCTGGGATCGAGCCCCGAATCGAGCTCCCTGCTCAGCAGGAAGTCTGCTTCTCCCTCTCCCTCTGCCCCTACCCCCACCCCCCGCTCCTGCTCTCTCTCTCGCTCGCTCTGCTCTCTCTCTCTCTCAAATAAATAGACAAAATCTTAAAAAAAAAAAATTGGAGATGACTCCAAACAGTTCCCATCTACCAACACAGGAGAAGCCTCTCCCAGAGGCCCAGCTTCCATGTACATCCCACCCCGCCAGTCTGTCCGCCAACGTACATACACAAAGATCTGGTCCCTTGACATCGACCCACGTTGAGCTTACCTTACCTGCTCCCTTGCCAACATGAATGTTATTCTTGGCTTACCACTCCCTCCACCCCTACACATATATTCATTCCTCCTCTACGTCTGGTCCCATTCATCCCCACTTCTACCCTCCAGTCCATAATGTAACCCTGGCAGGTCTTACAGCCAGGATCATACTACAAAGATACAGGATTGTGTTTCTTTGGCCAAAATATACAACAATTACTACTACTAATAATAATATTTTACATAGTACCAGACTTACAAAACATTTGTTGACACTTCCCCCATTTTTCACAATCTTGAACTTACCAGCTTTACTACTCTCAAGGTATAATCTACAGATACCCACTGGAATAGGAGAAAAGAACATTTTGAATTCAAATGATATAGAAACATATGCACTTATAACTACATGTGAAATACGCAACACCAGTTCAGACTGAAAAACAGCATCGAGATGGGCAATGTGTCCATCAGCCCCAGCCCACCGCGTTTGCTGCTGAACTAGATAGATCAGAAAGTGGTGACGCTTGGCACCAACGTCCCAAGGAAATTAAGGAAGACCAACAAAACAAGGGCACTAGGTGGAATTTAAGCCCCGTATCAACAAGTATTAAGTCCACTGTGTAAGGAGCCGGTGTAATACACAGTACAATTTGTGTCAACTTTGTTGAGGACACAGCCCAGGCAAGATGGCAGGTGAGAAGCCCAGTCTTCCTCAACCCCTCCCCATCCTGAGCATAAGAAACTGACCCCAGCCCTGGACACCACAGCCTGCTGTCCCCATAAAGCACAGTCAAGTTCACAGGCATTGACCCAGAATTCTCCATTGTATTACCCCTACCCTTCACCCCACAGGAACTCCTAAAGCCTGAAGGGGTTTGTAGGGCTTGCCTTTGATCAGCCGCTCAGGTCTTGTCCCAGGTAAGGTCCACATTGCCTGTGCCAAGTGTCCAAAGACAGTGGCGTCGAGAGTAGAAAGCTTGGGGCCCATGATGTACTTCTTATCACCTGCAGCAGACAGAGCGGAGAGGTCACTGGGCTGGCCTGCACTGCCCCACGTGGTCACCATGGCGTTCAGCACACTCTATAGGTTCATTTAACTGTGTGTCAAAAGCTTTGCAGAGTCAAAATGCATGCACCTCCTTTTTCTTAAAAAAAAAAAAGAAACAAAAGGAAAACAAATTAATTCTGTGTTGGATCAACCCATACAACAGCCAAACAGGGAAATAACCGGCAACATATCAAGAAAAGCAGGTAAGGGAGGAGAGTTCATGGGGAAAAGGGAAATCTGATCACCCACAGACCTCTGAAGGTACCTCCTTGTCTCAAACTCTAGTAATGAAAACTTGAGATGCTTGAAAACACCTGGAAATTTGCTGAACCCGTCTCAAAAGTAACCCACACCAAGCACACCAACCTCAGCACTTAATTTATTAAATTAAAACATCTCCTCAGGAAGAACTCAAGAAGTCTAGGCTACGTGGCAAGGTTTTCCGTGCTGCACCATGGTCTTGGCAATGTCCTCACCACTGAACACCAGTTTCCACCGGAAGAGAAACTATGAAACTACAGGCCCCGCCGTGCGATCGGGTTGACGCACAACGATGTGTCGCACTGCTGCCCCCATCTGTCCTTTTCCATCACTACTGAACTAGTTCAGTCCTCACCACCTGGACCGTCCCCTCTGACCCATTAACATTGTCCCAAGCCCGTCTCCCGAGCCACTGGCAGGGACTGTAGCAAACAGAGGCAACTCGGGTGGAACTGGGCCCACCTGGTTCACATCCTGGCAACACCATTACTCAATGTGGGAGCCTGGTCGGTACTTAAGCTCTCAGAGCCTCAGTTTGCCCATCCGGAAAATGAGGATGATATTAACAGTGCTCACTTCTCAGGGCTATCATGAGGATGAACGGCATCATGCACATGAAGCACTTAGCACCATATGTTGGTACCGCAAGCATTAGCTTTCATGATAGCAGCCCCTCGGTTTCTCCAACCCATTCCGTACCCCACCCGACTTAAATCACTACAGTGCTCTTTTCACCATGTCACTCCCTTCCCACAAATACCGTCAATGGGCTATGAAATGGGTTAGGAAAGTCCAAACTCGGAATTCAAGGCTCATTATGCTCTGCCTCCAACCCATGTTCCAGCTTTCTCTGTCGCTCCTCCCTTACTCTAGCAAACCTGGGGAACACTTCCCATTCCCCAGCACACTTCATGCTTCCCAAGGTCACATCTTTGCCCAGGCAGCGCCCACCCCTTTCCCTGCCCCCCACACCCTGTATGTGCTCCCCACTTCTCTCATCTGGTAAATTCTATCCATCCTTCGAGGTCCAGCACGAGCCTCGTTCCAAAGATTTCTCTGTCTATTCTATCTGGTGGTAAGGGAGTCTCAGTTCAGATAGCCCTGTGTTCAAATGCCGCTATTACACACACAACCTTGTAGAACCGTAAGGCCTTTTATGCCTACTAACCTCAATTTCTTGAACCATAAAATGGGAGGAATTGCTGGCTGTTTCGGCGAGTAAGTGAGGTGACTTAGGAGAGCACACAGCAGAGAGGTCTTGCCTCTTGTAGCCCAGTCTCCATACTGTGCTATGTGCTGGTTGGTTTTTGCTTGTTTGTTTGTGCATTTTATCTTTTCAGCTAAATGGTAAGCTCTTTGAAAGTAAGAATAATTTCTTATTTTTATAAAGCAAACTCTAATGCAATGTTTACTACATACCAGGCATGATTCTAAAGGCTGTACTCTACAAATATCTACCCATTTCACTGTTCTTGAGTGGCAAGCTGACAAAATTAAGTATCTGATGACTACGTACAAACAAGCTAGGAGAAATGGCTGGAGTTGGGGATGCCAGTTAACGACCAACACAGCACAATACCAGCATATGGAAATGTATCAAATCAACATTTTGTGCACCTTAAACTTACACAATGTTTTATGTCAATTATATCTCAATTTTAAAAATAAGTTGAAAACAACAGAAAAACAACAACAAATGGAACTGGAGATTACCTTTAAAAAAAACCATTTCTGTTCTATATTCTACAGGGACCAAGGAATGCCCTACAATATGCTGAACCTAACCAAACTATCTACTCTGGTGAGGACAAGCAAGTTGTCCATACCTGGACAAAAATAAAAAAGCAAGCCTGGGTAAATCATTTGTCTCAAGAGTGTCAGTTATCTTCTTGGGGCGCCTGGATGGCTCAGTTGGTTAAGCGTCTGACTCTTGGTTTCTGCACAGGTCATGATCTCAAGGTCGTGAGACTGAGCTCCGCCTCAGGCTCTGTGCTGAGTGCAGAGTCTGCTCAAGATTCTCTCTCTCTGGGGCACCTTAGGCATCTGCCTTCGGCTCAGATCATGATCCTGGGGTCCTGGGATCGAGCCCTGCATCGGGCTCCCTGCTCAGCGGGGAGTCTGCTTCTCCCTCTGCCCCTCTCCCTGCTTGTGCACTCTCTCTCTCTGACAAATAAATGAATAAAATCTTTAAAAAAAAATGTAATCATTTGAATACATACATCAACTATGCATACAATATTCAACCCGAATTTCCCATTTGGCATCAGAACATTAACACTGAAAATTCATGGATTTAGTTAGTAATAGAACCGGACTAAGAAGGCTGGCTCCCAGGTCCTCCGACCTCCAGCCTCAGGCTCCTTGCTCTGTGTAATAGGCCCCTCAGGTCATCATCTCAGAGATAAACAACCCCTGGAGGGTTGAGCTGTGATCATTTACCAAAAACAATGCTTTAGAGAGGAAGAAGTACGGAATGCAGGAAAAAAAAAAAAAAGAAAGAAAGAAAAGAAGTCTAGGGCTTTTTAAAGGTGCTTCCAAAAAAACTGATGGAATTTAGCATTTGTGGAAAATGCTGAATGGTAGATACAGAATCACAAGTGTATACACACACAACAGGGATAAATTTAAAGAATATCAAAATATACTGTTATTGAAAAGTCCTCAAGGACCAAATGGCGGGAAGCTTTTTAAAAATTTATTTTGAAAGGATCTTATACTTACAGAAAAGTTGCAAAAATAGCAGAGCTCCTGTATACCCCTCAATCGGCTTCTGCCAATATCAACATGTTATACTATCACAGTCCATGTATCAAACTAAGAAATTAACATTAATACAATACTATTAACTGCACTATTTTTATTCATTTTCACATTTTATTCACAAAACATTAGTTTTTCAACTAATGCCCTTTTGTGTTGCAGGATCCAGTCTAGGATCCCGCACTGCTTGTAGGTGTCATGTATCCTTACCCTCCAATCCGAAAATTCCTCAGTCTCTCCTTGTCTTGCATAACCCTGACACTTTTTAAAGTATACTGGTCAGTTATTTTGTACGACGTTCATCAATTTGAGTTTGCCTAGAGTTTTTTATGATTAGATCAGGTCATGCATTTTTGGCAAGAATACCATGGAAGTCATAATGTCACCTTCTGTGATGGCTAATTTTATGTGTCCATGTGACTGGCCACAGAGTGCTAAGTTATTTGGCCAAACATAACTCTGGGTGTTTTTGTGAAGGTGCTTTGGATGAGGTTAACATTCAAGTGGCAGACTGAGTATTGCAGATTACCCTCTCTGATGTGGGTGGGCCTCATCCAATTAGTTGAAGGCCTTAAAAAAAGCGGGTGGGGGGGGCTGACTCTCCAGAGAGTAAGGGAGAATTCCTTCTGCCTTCAAAGGGGAACATGGGCTTTTTCCTGCCCTTGGACTCAAGCTAAAACATCAGCTCTTCCTGGGTGTTGAGCCTTTGGACTGGAACCACACTCCTTCTACATGTATTGATTAGAATCCTACTATTCCGTACATCCCCCATTTACTAATGTATTCAATTATTTATTTATGTAAGGATGTATTCATCAATACTTATTTTATTCTATGGTTTATAATCCAGTACTTTCGTTATATATTTTTATCGCTCAAATTGTTTGAGCTTTGGCCTTTTGGACATTGGCAGGAAGTAATTTTAAGAGGGAAATTGAATTTAGATTGGACCCTGCTTAGAGACAAAGAGGCCGGGCTAAGGTCTCAAGACTGCAGCACTCCCAGCTTTCACCAAGTGGTTCCAGATCTTGCGGCCAGACGTTGCAAAAACAAAACACTAAGGGCATTTTTGAAGGGCACTGAAGGAACAGGCTTGGAGGATGAGGCAACTCAAGCTTCATTTTCAGTAGGTAAACTATCCCCCCTGGCTTCTGTAGGAAGGGACAGAAGCAGCTCAGAGCTACCTGAGCACCTGTCACTCCCTGCCAGCCTCCAGGTTGGGAGTGTGGACCAGAACCACTGGTGAGCGCAAATGAAGGTTGAAAATATCAGAAATCCTGGGAGGTGAGGGATATCAGACTCCCTGAGGGATGCTCCACCAGAGGCCAGCTTCCAAGTATCTGGAAAACCTCCGTGAGGGTGCAGAGCCCTCCTGACTGTGAGGGCGAGCCCACATCACAAGAGGGTGTGGAGTACATCCAGCCAGTGAAGGCAGGGTGACTTCAGGTGCCCACGATGATTTCACAGAACTCCAGGCCTGGATCTTCAAGTGGCCATTAGGGAGCAGAGACCAGTGAGGACATGCAAGGACAGTGACCAAACAGCCAGGGGAGAGGGGCCATGGAGAAGAGCCCACGGCAGGAGCAATAAGAGTTGGCTCCACCGAGGGCTAGGGAATACTAGCTGGTCCTCGGTGTTCCTAGAATCTGATCCTACCTCTCTTGGGTGGTGTGGGCAGCTCTCCTCCATGGAAAAAGCCATGATGCAGATGCAGTAACCACTGGGGCACCCAAGGATGACCACAGATTGAGTGGGGAGTGCTAAGTCAAGGATAACAAAAATGTTCCGGAGCCCTAAAGGATATTTGCTCTTTGTACCTCAGACTTGAGCTGTGATTGGATTTTACAAGATCACTGGTCAAAATCTTAAGTGACCCCGTTAATCCAAGGCTGCTTATCCTGACCTCCAAGCCTGAGCTGGCTCTTGCCACACTATC